GCTAGTGTGAATCTACACATTGAGATGTTAACATTCAAATGCTATTTAGATCTAAAAATTGTTTGTACTCGTGAAGTTTGACTGGACAACTAAAAATGAAATGTCCAATCCGGTGCTCTCAAGTAAAAATCAGATTTTTCCAGTCACATTATGCAGGTGTTTTATGTTCAAATTAATTTGTCCAAATCAAATGCTCTTTAGATGTAAAATGATCATCTTTACCTTTCGCTGACCTATTGGATAATTCTAAAAGGTGAAGCCATTTTATATCCTGCCAACCATCCTGTTTCAATTGCACAGGGTTGGCACTGGACCTGATAACACTTGTCAAATCATTTCATGGGGTCCTCAAACTTTGCCTTTAACATGATTTTTAGCCTTAAGCTGCCTTTCCACTGTACACGACAGCTGTCAGACTGGACATTATTTCCAATGGAGAGTCGTGCGGGGAGTTCCGATCACATGCGTATGTGGAGAATTCGAATCCGATTAAGCTTTGGATCCATTGAAATATCGGAACTTTTACGTACAGACCTTTTGTGACTGGTTGTATTCTAATCAACTGAGCATGAAGATACTAAAATTGCCCATAGTTTAACTCTATTGTTATTCTGTAAACTCTATTTCTGTACTATATCAGTTAATTATGGCAGAAAAAATATTTTGTAATGATTAAATCAACATTTATATTGATTAGCTCTATAAAATCTTATGTTTATTTTTAGATGTATTTAGGGTCATTTTGTTTTGTGTCTTCATTCATGCATTACATTCATTAAAAACATTCATTTTACAATTGTGAATATCCGAGGGTAACGGTTACCTCACTACCATTTTCAAAGTTTCATGCGAGTGACAATCGTATGCCAATATCGTCGTGTGCAGTGGAAATGCGGCTTTAGTGTGATTTTTTTGATTTACCAACGTGGACATCCTGTGAGATGGCTCTCATGTGGCTCTGTCCGTGTGGCGTAAGGGAGCGCAGCACTTCGGTGCCATGACGTACAGTCCCGTTCCACGACGTTGAATAGCAAGCTTGTCCCCGGCCTCTGGCTGGTGTGGACGGCGTCCTGTATATTCCTACATCTTCCCAGAGCCCTTTGGGCCGTTACTGGGGAGGTAAACCATGCAGTGCACATGCCTTTTAGAGGCACAATAATGTGATGTTGCTTAAGAGTTGCCATGTTGACAACCAAATTAATGGTTTTAATCTTGATGTTTTTTTTCAGAGGAGAATCCTGCCTAAACCTACAAGGAAAAGCCGCACAAAAAACAAGCAGAAGCGTCCCAGGAGGTAAATGTCGTCTTGTTGCATTTTGGAAGCTGTGTTTGCGGAGTCAGGGTTAGTAGTGCTTGCTTTCTCAGTGTGAATTTGCCTACCATATCATAGTTAGACTGATTGGCCTTGTTAGTGTGACGTAACCCAACGTGGACATCCTGTGAGATGGCTCTCATGTGGCTCTGTCCGTGTGGCGTAAGGGAGCGCAGCACTTTGGTGCTATGACGTACAGTCCCGTTCCACGACGTTGGATAACAAGCTTGTCCCCGGCCTCTGGCTGGTGTGGACGGCGTCCTGTATATTCCTACATCTTCCCAGAGCCCTTTGGGCCGTTACTGGGGAGGTAAACCATGCAGTGCACATCCAAATCTGTTATATTTAGCATGTTTCATGTTTTTAAGTGACTAAACCTAATGTTTAGTAGATGAACACTAAACTTGTCCGCTTAATCTGTCTTCTCCTTTAGCCGAACTCTGACTAATGTGCATGATGCTATCCTTGAGGACCTGGTCTTCCCCAGCGAAATTGTTGGCAAGAGGATTCGTGTGAAACTGGACAGCAGCAGGCTCATCAAGGTCCACCTCGACAAGGCACAGCAAAACAATGTTGAACACAAAGTGAGTACTACTCTTCTTAAATGCAGTAACCCAACGTGGACATCCTGTGAGATGGCTCTCATGTGGCTCTGTCCGTGTGGCGTAAGGGAGCGCAGCACTTCGGTGCTATGACGTACAGTCCCGTTCCATGACGTTGGATAGCAAGCTTGTCCCCGGCCTCTGGCTGGTGTGGACGGCGTCCTGTATATTCCTACATCTTCCCAGAGCCCTTTGGGCCGTTACTGGGGAGGTAAACCATGCAGTGCACACTATTAATTGTTCAAATTGAGTTTCTATTTTGGGATTTGTGATGAATTATCAGGCAAATAATCGTTCTGTGATTGTTTTTATCCTTGACTTTAACTGGAGATGTTTACCTTTTGAAAAACCCATCAATTAGTAGGCTATGGTCTAGTTTTATTTTTAGTGCTCTACATTTCAATTTATAAGTAACTGTCACAATTTCCTGTTCAGTCTTTTCACTGAATATTCTTTTTTTTAGCTAATTTGTGGTTGTTGTTTCAGGTTGAGACCTTCTCTGGTGTCTACAAGAAGCTTACAGGCAAGGATGTGATATTTGAATTCCCGGAGTTCCAACTGTAAAGTGCAGATGACAAAATAAATTTGTTTACTGTCATGTCCCCTGTCTTTTTAATTATTTTACCAAGTCATTAAGTGACTTCTGTTTGTTTTCTTTATGTCATCGTATAAGATGTTAGTTCATGAAAGCATTGTGGCATTAAAAAGATGGTGTTCTGAAGTGGTAAGGATTGCTATGACTTCACTCTTGTTTGCACATAAATGTTTATCAGATTGCAGTGTCATGTGTTGGCCCCCATTCTTATGGAGAACACAATGATCAGTATCTGATAGTGCCCAAACTTATTCCTGACCTAATAGACCTTATTCAGAGCAGCGCTATGACGGGCATGAAAGTGAGGCTGTGAGGGATAGACTTACCATGTTTCCAATGGCATCCGCTGTAAAAAGCTGAATAAAGCGGCTAGATTACTTACAATTTTCCACAGCTCACATTGTCGGGAGTTTTTGCAAAGATATGTTTCCAGTGTTTTATGAGCAGAGCAATCCGAAAACACATTAAATAACAGTACAGCCCATTGAAGAGATGCAAGTCTATCCCTTACAGCCTCGCTTTCATTCTCAATAAAAATCAAAGATGGCGCTGCTGTGAATAAGGCGTATACCGCAGTCCATCTGTGATTTATGGTGGTGACCATTTTGGCAGAAGTTCTTCACTGATGGCATATAGCCTGTATTAGCTGAGACTCTTATCTGTACAGATGTGACATAATGACTCGATATAGAATACTAGCAGAGACTCAACTGATGTGACGTAATGACGCAGAGACATGTTTGAATTGGCTTTATGCCCAGCTGCACTACTTCCTGAACTTCAGCCAGCTCCTTGTTTCCTGTCTGCCATTATTGGCCAAATTGATTAATTCAGGTGTGTCTGATTATTGTTGCCACGACTACTGAGGTCAAGCACACCTGAATTAATCAATTTGACCAATAATAGACCAACGCCACTTTTGCGTCATCGAAGGGTAACGCCCCCTTTTGGGGGAAAACACCTCTATACTGTCAATGGGAAAACAAACGGATTCCCATGAGAACAGAACTCGCACTAGATCTGCAACGTTTCTTGATAGCAAAAATGGCACAAACTTAAAGAAGCTAACGTTACTGAATACGGGGTTACAGAGGTTTCCCTTTGAAATGGTCGAAAACTGGATTAATGACCCCACACAGCGGCCAAATATGGACTATTCAGACATCTAACGTTACCACTATCTCGTGGAATCACCAAGTAAGTAGCCTTTTTTATTTATTTATCATTTACACACTCACAGTAGCCTATTACAAACTACTAGACGATGAGGCCATGTCACTTGGATCATATTTAACTTGATTTAAGCTATTGACAGTTTTGTTGTCGACTAGCTATTAGAAAGACTAGCTGTTAGCAACTAACGTTACCTTATTAGACTATGTCAATAGCTTAAATCAAGTTAAATATGATCCATTCATCGTCTAGTTTGTCATACTGTGAGTGTTAATGAAAAAAAGGCTACTTACTTGGTGATTCCACGAGATAGTGGTAACGTTAGATGTCTGAATAGTCCATATTTGGCCGCTGTGTGGGGTCATTAATCCAGTTTTCGACCATTTCAAAGGGACACCTCTGTAACCCCGTATTCAGTAACGTTAGCTTCTATAAGTTTGTGCCATTTTTGCTATCAAGAAACTTTGCAGATCTAGTGCGAGTTCTGTTCTCATGGGAATCCGTTTGTTTTCCCATAGACAGTATAGAGGTGTTTTCCCCCAAAAGGGGGCGTTACCCTTCGATGACGCAAAAGTAGCGTTGGTCTATGGCAGACAGGAAACAAGGAGCTGGCTGAAGTTCAGGAAGTAGTGCAGCTGGGCATAAAGCCCATTTCCCTCGGAAATCAACTAGTACCACTGAGCTTAAAAACATTACAAGCCTATCACTTTGAATGGAGCTAAGGCAAGCAGACCGTTTTTAACACTGGCTGGTTATCTATTTTCTCAAATAATTATTTTGGGTAATTTTTAACCCCAAAAAAGTTACCGACTGCAGCTTTAATATTGACGAAATGTGTTGTTTTTCCAATGTCACAGGTGATTGTAACTCCTCTATATATATATATATATATATATATATATAAAACGGGCTCAATTTGTAAATGCAGGCTAACCTTGGTTGGTTAATTTTCAGTGGGGTGACCCCACTGAAAATTAACCAACCAAATTAATCATATACTATACAAATAAACAAGGTTATTTGTTTTACATTGTACTGAAAATAAAGTACTGTGATTAAAAAAAAAAAAAAAGATAAGTTATACAACTTTCCCCAAATCTTGTAATGCCCCTTCTTGTGGTTGCAATGTTCCAGTCTGTTCGAAACCATACAACATTTGCATAAATATGTGCATACACATGTAGGTTGTTTAAACGGAGATTTTAACTTTTATAAAATACCTGCTTAATTCTGTTCTTTACTCGAGTTGCTACAGATGACTCGCGATTGTATTTAATAATCAATTTTGTACTTTCATGATATTCAACGTGACCGCTGTTGATCATAAATTATGGACTTCGCTCTGTTTTAGGCTAGAGAGGGGTTAGTTAAATATTATCAGTCAGTCTATAATATCGAAGCGAGTTAGCACTTCTCTACCATCCTCTTTTTAGGTCATTGTAATGTCAAACAAGAATTGAATTTGAAACAAAATTAGCTCAAATCTAATTCGCACAAACATGGCAAATCGACCCATACAGAAGGCGGCCAGCAGTCAGCCACATTTCCTGCAGTTCAACAACCTCGCATGTGAAACAGCTGGAGGAAAGGTGAACAGCATTTTTATGCATTTTAAATATAATAAACAATGTCATATTTTATGAGATTTTAAATATGCGGATGTTCTTGGTTATATTGCATTTGCTAAGTACTAACGTTGTCATTAAAGGTGATTTTTGCCACAGATGAGTGGTTTGCCCCTGCCAGAAATCTATTGAAGGTAGTCCTTTTATGTGTACTCGTAATATTCATGTATTCAAACTTTTCTAGAATGATCTGATGTTAAAAATGTTGTTCTAAAATGACCTGAAGCGAGACCCTCCAGAATTCATAGCCTCAGCGTTTACTGAATATGGGAAATGGATGGATGGCTGGGAAACCCGGAGGAAAAGAATTCCAGGTATTAGTCCATTTTCACAAATCAAAGTTCACTGTAAAACTGAAATAGGGCTCTGTGTGTTCCTCATTTCTCTCTAATGAGAGTGAGTTCAATTGAACCTGGATGAGTTAGAGTAAAATAGCTGCAGGCTACATCCCTCTATCATCCATTCAGTGTCTCTGAAGATCTGTGAAATGAACTCATGTGCGAAAGATGTACTGCAACACTGAGATGCTTCCTCATCTGACCAGGCTTTCAGGGCATGTTTTGCAATCTCAAAGAGTGCTCTGTCCGTACTTACAACAGATTTAGTTACCTCATGAAAGATGCATGTGTCTCTCATCTTGTGTTAAAGGTCATGACTGGTGCATTGTACAGTTAGGAGTTCCAGGAATTATTCATGGCTTTGATGTGGACACTTCGTTCTTCACGGGGAACTATGGCCCATACGTCTCCATTCAAGTGGCCTGTCTTGGTAGGTGCCTATGGTCGTCGCCTGAGACTGCAAGTATACGTTAAAGGACCACGTTTAAGGTTAACTTGATTATCTAATATATGTCACTTCTAAATCAGATCAGATTCCATTGTTCACTCTTGAAGGAGATCGTACAGGCATGGCAGCTTCCCCAAGCCAGTTTGAAGCTGTGGCAAAGGTGTAAAATATCGTCTAGTGTGCTAGATCATACATAAAATCTACAGTCAGAGGGAACAGAACTCAGTCTGAATTTTTGTTGAACAGCTAAACTCAGACAGCTGGAAGGAGATTGTCCCGATGACAGAGATGAAGCCGGGTTACTCTGATACATGCCACAACTACCTGAGTGTCACCTATCCACACAGAGTTACCCATATCCGCCTCAACATTTATCCAGGTAATATATGTTCAGCAACATTAATCATTTGATGCAATTTTAAAAAGTTACAAAACAGAGAATGTGATCATTCATAATAATAATAAAAAAAAATGCCTCGGGAGAGATGCTACAATGGAGAAACATCTTAGAGCCATTTTTTTTTGTAAAATGAATACAAATGAAAGCTTGTAAAATGATAATAAAATATTAACGTTTTATTTATATAAGACCTTAAAACTGGAGAGTATGTGCTTTTTCCAGATTTTTTATGTTGTGTTTTATTTACTCATTTTTCTTAGCGGATGATTTCTTGCCCAAGGTGCCTACGGGAAAAGATTCTTTCAATGAATTGTTGAAAGAATTGTAGCTCTGAATTAAAGCTGAAGTTTGTCATTTGTAATTGTGTCACCAAACAGAAAATAAATATAAAAGCATTCCCCCCTGCCTGCCATTGCGGCCAAACTGTTAGTCCTCAACTGAACCATAATTTAAAGTGCTACTTTTTTCAGTAGTCTTGGTCCCGTAAGTATTATTCCCACAGGGTTTAAAACAAAAATGTCTAAATGTAATAAGCTATGAACCTGCTATTAGATGAAGCACAAAATGACAAACTTAGATTTGAAGCATAAAAGTATTTGAAAATCTTTACAAAGAGACAAAAGGTACAAGAATGAGTACCTAATTTCTTTAATGAGGGAAAAGAACCCCATAAACCACATTTATGGGAATAACATAATTGAATGTAAAACAATGGAGAAATATCCATTTGATGTTGACTCTATATAGAAACAATATATTTAATGTTTATATAGACTTTATATTCTGTATTGACTGTTGCTCTCTGTTGGTTGAGCCAATGAGTTTGTGTTGGGCTGGTTCGGATACTTTAACAAACAGAACAATATTTTGCTAGTGCTTACACTTTTTCTGGAATATCAACCTACTTATAGTTGTTTCTGCATATTAAAAAATAAAAATTTCAGCTTTTATTTTTTTTGTTTGATTTTTGCAGATGGCGGCATTGCAAGGCTGAAAGTTTATGGCGTTGGGAAGAAGGACTGGTCCACTGTACCTGGCCAAGACCTAGTGGATCTTGTTGCCCTGGTTAATGGAGGCGTATGCGTAGGCTACAGCGATGCCCACTACGGTCACCCACGCAATATGATTGGTGAGTAATTCTTTGGACTCCCAGACAGCACCATTGAGTTGGCCCAGATACGGCCCACATCAGGTACACGTGGATTCCACACATCTGGGCCGAAACTATGTTGCTGTCTGGGCTGGCAAGTTGAGAAACATTTTAAAGAGGCATTATGTTTTGTTTTTGTTTTTTTGTTTTTTCAGTTGAGCTAAAAGAAACATCTAAAATGCAATCTCTGCTTTGAAAGCCACACTATGCAGCTCTGATGTTTTTGTGAAACAGCGACCCCTAGTGTACTTGCACTGTCGTAAATAACCGTAACTCCACTTTATATTGCAGTCCACTGAACTACTGACGATGGTAACGATGGTGACGATGGTTTATAATAGTAAAGTTGCCTATAGTGTGACTTCACGTGTTGTTGTTGATGTGTGTGACGTCGTTGCCATAAAGCATTTCGTAATTTTTGCGAGATTTGTCAGGGGCGTCTCTCTCAAACTTGCTGATTTTTCTGGCAGCGTCCTCCCCAAGCTTTACTACCAGGATGATTCACCCTACTATGACTTTGCTCACCACCGAAATGACTTTGAAGCTGTTATATTAAGGTTCAAATCTTGCATAGTGTGCCTTTACAGGCATATCATTAAAAAAAACAAGCCATACTTTATTTCTATGAATACTAAACATCACTTCCCAATAAATAAGTTACGGTCTATTTAATTATTGTATGCAGAAGATTATGGAATAAAATAGAGATTTTGAGATCTAGATCAGTACTTTGTGGTTGTCTGAATGTGTGCTTCTCCATAGCCCTAGGGAGAGGTGAAAACATGGGAGACGGGTGGGAGACAGCCAGACGCCTGGATCGGCCCACAATTTTAAGGGTAAAAGCAGTCTTGTCATTTTAGGAAACATAGACATCAGTTATTCCCATCCCCACACAGGTCCCATATATTGCTTTTCAGGTGGATGAGAAAGGCATATTGCAGGTACCAGGCTGTGAGTGGGCTATTCTCAGACTAGGACATCCTGGTATCATAAGCAAAATTGAGCTAGATACCAACCATTTTAAAGGTACTAGAAGTATTATATATATATATATATATATATATATATATATATATTGCATTTTCTGTCTAAATGTTTTCCATATTAAATGACATTTGCACTTTCTATTCATAAAATAAGTCCTGAAAGAAATGTAGCACGGTTTCCACAAAAATATTAAGCACTGCAACTGTTTTCAACATTGGTAATAGAAATGTTTCTTGACCACCAAACCAGCATATTAGAATGATTTCTGAAAATTCAGCTTTGCCATCACATGAATAAATAAATTTTCAAATAAATTAAAATACAAAATAGTTATTTTAAATTGTAATAATATTTGGTTTGGTATTTGGCTAGCATAAGAGTCTTTATTTTAAAAACATTTTAAAAAATCTTACTGACCCCAAACCTTTGAAACTTTTTAACTTTAAGCTTGAAATATGCTTTAAAAAACAACTATTGTCTTAGGGAATTTTCCAGACTCCTGCAAGATCGAGGCCTGCAGTTTGACCCCAGATGAGGAGAACAATTTAATTCTTAACCAGTGGCGCTCAGACAAAAGCCACAAGTGGAGAATTGTCCTTCCTCCTCAAAAAGTATGAATTGCACAAATTTCATTTGCCTTCATCTTCAACTTTATTCCTTTTTGTTCTCTGTAAATGTGATCACAATCTTCCTCATCTAGCTGAAGGCACACCACAGGCATTTCTTTTCTGGGGAGTCTGTGGTGCATTGTGGGCCTGTGACTCACGTGCGCCTGGTCATAGCTCCCGACGGAGGGGTCAGCAGACTCAGGCTCTGGGGTCGACCGGTGTCCGACTACGTGACTCACCCTCAACAAGTCTCCAAACTGTGATGCCATCATGTATTTTCAACACGCAGTTATAGACGAATGAAGCTCATGACATTAGCTGTGATATAAAATATTTACACAGTAAAATGTTAATAATTGTGGTAATTACTATACTATATACAATAGTACGTATATAGTACTATATACAAATACTATACTATAAATTTACCTGATAGTGATACAGTAAATAATTAAATTTTATTCTCAATAAATTTCTCTCATAATAACTAACAAAGTTAGCTGATGACTATTTTTTTTGGCCTCATATATTTACAATACTGACATTTTAGTTATAAAAATAGTTTTGAAAATACTTATTCTGTCATGTGAATATTAGCCTATATCTTTTTTAATTTTTTAAGCAAACAAAACAATGGTGTGAGAAAATGCTGACAGTAAGACAGTCTCAAGTATGAACGTAGATACATAAGGACTCGTTCAGACTGTACAGTAGCATTGGAAATCTAATCTAATACAAAAGTATAATATTTTAACAACTAACATTTTTGCAAACATTTGAAAAGTTCTGCTTGCATACCTCAGAAACAGCTCTGGGATATGAGAATAATTATTGTTATACCTAAAATAATGAATCTAAAATTACAAAAATTCTCGTAGTAATGATTTTTAATTGTGCAATAAAGTGCTATATTATAAAAGGATTAAAAGTGTATAGATAGTTTTCATTGTGCATGATGTGTCCTTCTTTGATAGGCATTATTTTCTAAAATATTTCTTTGACATTTTGCTTATACCCCAACATGAGGCAACTGATCTTTGATTTTAAAAAATGTGTCTTAAGTCAAGAAACGAATTGGAGCTTATCTCTTTTTACATGAAAAGTTGTTGACATATTCTTTGACGTTTCTTCTACTATGCTTATCCCTCGGAACAAGGTGGGATTTTGACATTCAATGACATGTTTCAAACTTTCTGGCATTTACTCTGTCCAATTGCACAGATAGCTTCTGCAGATGCAGAGATTTTCCATTGAGCTGTTTTCTCCCCCCAATCATTTTGTCATGTTTCTCCCCAGATTAAGCCAGCGGTCCATAGCAGGACAAATTGTGTCGGCATAGTTGATAAGGATTCTGCAGGAGTCAAGTGCTATCAGGTCAGGCCTTCTGTGCCCCAGCCATATAAAATACAGTCAGTGGACTTCATTCATGCAGAAGAAATGTCATTGTTCATGCAACCATTCCAATGCAAATTCTTGCATTAAATTGAATACAATCTGTTCACATTCTGTTTGTGTTTCATGAATGGGGTCCAATGTGCTGGACACATATATTCATTGAATCAGAGTGAGAAAAGATGTCACTATTTTTACAAAACAATAAACTCAATTCAAAGATTGCAGCATGGAATGACAAAACCCTAAACAAAGTAAGCAAAATTAAAAACCCAAATATGATTATGAATATTAGTTCTAGAAGTCCTTGAACAGGCTGAGCATGTGGAGACATAGACAGCACCAGACATCTCTCATTTCTCTGGAGTCAAACAGGGTGCATTGTGATTAATTACAGTATATTATGCTCACTCATGCAGACACATGAACACACTCGCTCACACACACACACTCGGGGCCCTTTGCCTGAGGAAGAGAATTGTTTGTTGGGTTGAACTTAAATGACAGGGGGCTGAACTGCACACTCAGCACTTTGCTTTTAGAAAAGGTCAATGTGAGATATCTAATGTGTCTTTATTAGTATGAAATATTTCAGCTTGGTTTTTCCATTGTTGAAAAAATAAATATTTGTTTGTGCTCTGTTGCCATCCAGATGAGTTTATCATGCTTTTCTCAATTAAGTTAAATCAGGTTTCATAGTTCAGCAGACTTATTCCTGGTTTCACAGACAAGGCTTAAGAGAGTCCCAGACTAAAATTCATGTTTAAGCTGTTTTAACTGAAAGCAACTTGCACTGACATATACTGTATACTGACATCTGATAAGAAATATATTAAATTGAATTGGAAGCTCAGATTTTTTAAGTGGAGACTTAGAATTAGGGTTATTATAGTTAATTAAAACTAAAGCACTAAGATCATATCATTAATCGAAATACATGTCAATTTAAAATATGAAAAAACTGTTTTTTATTTCAGCTAAGCAATGTTTCTCTTTTTGTTGTACTAAAATAACTAAAACCGAAGAAAAAAAACCCTCTATAAATACATATAAAAAACTATCAAATGACCATTCATTCAAACTGAAATGAAAATGGAAAATATAAAAATAACTTACCAAAATATTAATAAAAACTTAAAATAATAATATCTCAATACTAAAATAAATTTTTTTTGTGTCTGGGCAATCAGAGCATAATATGATAAATCGCTGAGATCTTGTCTGAAACATGAATATGAGATTCTTTTTCTCATTCCATTTGCTCTCAATTTAATCCCATTGCTGTCTAAAAGAAACATTTGTGAACATTTTTCTTATGGGATGTAATGCCTTTAAGAGAAAATGGGAAATGATTTTAGAGAAGTAATGTGTGTCTGAACTGTGAATAAATATTGTGGATTTTAGATATGTTTATGTTCAAAAAGATGTAAATGTATTTTAAAACGAATTGAACCACACAGCGCTATACATAACATTATTATGTTGCTCTTTATAACTTATGCCCATGTATAATTCCTCAGCAGAGCTATTTGACTCCACTGTCACCACATCCTGTTCTCAGGTATGTTTAAGCCAGTGCTCACCAGGGGGCGACAGAGGCCCAACAAACCTCATCTGACTAATGTGAGACTTGTGTGCATCTGCTATCTTTGCATGACCTCTCTTCTGTCTGTCACTGCTTGTCTCTCTCTGTGCGGTGTGTGTAATCCACTGGCTCCAACAGGCTATAAATGTTGGACACTCCAAATCCCACAGTCTCTCAATCACTCTTAAAGTGTGGTAAACTATGACCTGTCATTAACAGGAACTACAGTATAATGCTTTGGTCTTAAACAAAAATAAGCATATTAAGTTTTGTAAATACTGACAGAACTTTTATTTTTTTGAGTGAACAGTTCCTTTAACAAAATTTTTTCTCTCATGCAGTGATGGGATAGTTTTAACCTAAAGTCCCAATTTACCCTGAAGCTCTGTTAGTGCACATAGTCAGCGCACATTGATGAAGCGGTTAAAAAAAAGGCAATATATTCATCTACTTCTCATCACCCCGAGGTCGAGAAACATTTCACCTAGATGCCCTGATTTGATATGAAACTCTCCATGAAATTCAAATGTGTAACACCATCTCCCTTATACATACATACAAACACGCACACACAAACTCCCTTTCTGCCTCCACCTTGCCCTCCTCTCTTATTCGTCAGCCCTCTCCATCAATATCTGTCGGTTGGCTGCCAAAAAGAAGGATATGCTCAGGAATTAACTCTTTTTTTTCTAACCATTCCCTTCCAGCATGTTTGGATTTTCTCTGTTTGATCTGGACTGTTAAATAAGACGAATGCTATTAGAAATTCATGGCTGTGCCGTGGCATCAATAAATGATTAGTTTGCAGTGCTTGCCAGTGATTGATTGGCTGGCAGGGGATGTATTGGAACCAGACTCATTCAATGCCACGGCAAGTCCCTTGGGAACGGCTTAGCTTATCAGTGCCTGAACAACTTAAAGTGCTGTTTGTTAAGAAAGGTAAAAAAGAAGACTTTGAGAGAGAGAGCTGTGAATTAAACACTGCTTGTGGTTAATTGCATTTATTTACTCAGCTCTGATCAATTTAATATCCATTAATACATCTTTGCAAAAAACATTTTAAACTAGTAAATCATTGTCATGGTATATAAATGACTGTATATTATGCTGTATTATTATGGTACTGTGCATATAAAAATGAAAAGTACAGTACTTTCTGTGATGGCAAAGCTACATTTTCTGTATGATCATGATCCTTCAGAATTACTTGTGCTGATTTGGTGCTCAAGAAACATTTCTTATCAATGTTGAAAACAGTTCTGCTGCTTAATATTTTTGTGGAAACCATGATGACCTCCGTCTTTTTTCGGTACCAGAAAATATCTGCTGTAAAGGCCCCCTTCGCTCTGAGCTTGAGATAAAGGCTCTATTGCCCCTTTGCTCAATAGTTTCGCTATTTCTGCTCGAAGTAGATGGGCTACTTCGTTTTTTACCGTAGTTTCGACGCACGGCGTGTAGCGGCGGGGACGTCGAGTGAACTGCAGCGAATAGCCTCTTTTTATAACGTTCATCACCCATTCTGATACCCCGGGAAGCTTTGCCCACGCATTTGAATGAATAGCTTGGGGTAGAATGAGATCTGGGCTCTGACCACAACGTAGTGGCGATAGGAGAGCTTTGGTGTGCTGTAACGTAAACACTGTACTTGCAGCGTTTGAGGCAGGGGGCACGCCAATCGCGGTGGGCAGCCTGGCCGCGCTCGCTTTCTTTATAGCAGTTTGCTGAGAGAGAGAGAGAGCAGGGCGAGCCCCGTGGGGCTTAACATGTCTGTGAGTGAATGTGGGCGCGAGACAGCGGGCACATTTACTGCAATAAAAACACCATCGGCCTGAGCTTTCGTTTTTACAGAAACTGTGGGACATGCAGTGTGTGTAGTGTTTGTGGGCACATTCACTACATTTAATACACAATCAACATGAGTCAATTTTATTTGTGCGAGCCCTATATTGTGGTGAACTGCTTGTGTGTAGAAATGAACATTGGGCTGTGGACATTTTTATTACACTCATAACACCATCGGCCATGGCTGGAACACCAGAAATTGTACTCTTTATGTGATTCATCTGGGTCTCCATAAAATCGGCTTTTGTGTGCAGGCAAGCGGGCCATGGTACCAACTTTTAATGCAGAATACAGTCGCATTTTCTGGAACTGAACAAGCAAAAAGATTTGGTGGAAGTCTGGTCGCGGCGAGACCTGAACACCTTTACAAACAGCACTTTAAGTTGTTCAAGCATTGATAAGCTAAGTCGTTCCCCAGCGACTCGGCGTGGCATTGAATGAGTCTGGTTCCAATACATCCCCTCCCAGCGGCGGCCGGCAGAGCGAGAGCATGGTTTCTGGTCCCAGGCTTGACAACGCTGTGAAGAGGTGGTGGCGGGCGGCTGGGAGCTTCGAGCAGATGGCTGTTTTGAACCACCTGATGCGGAGCTAGAACGCTTCGGGAGGAAGTGCTTCATAGCCTGTGACGTCTTCTGAATCTCGGCGAATCTATCCGCAATATCTATGACGGAGGATCCAAAGAGGCCAGCTGGGGAGATTGGTGCATCGAGGAACAGAGAGCACTCTGAGTCCGGCATCTCAGATAGCGTCAGCCAAAGGTGTCTCTCAGCGACAGTGACAATGGCCTGTGCTGCGGATTTTGCTGCGTGAAGAGCTAGGTCCGTAGCGTTCCTTAGATCTGGCACGCTGATAGCTTCCGGTCCTTCCTCATCCATTTTTCGGAGATATTCGGCCTGGAGTATCTGCAGCATGGCCATCGAATAAAATGGCGACACAGCCTGCCCAGTGGCGGAATAAGCGCGGGTAACGTAAACAACAGAGGGCGGGCAAAGATGGGCTGCTACAGCTTCTTCCACAGGAGGAAGAGATTGGTATCCTCTGTCTTTCGCACCATCCACCATGGAGAATGCTGCTGAGACAGAGGTCTGCACCTCTGGCTGAAAAGGAGGCTGGACAGGTCCAGGAAGAAGAAGTTGCGAAGTCCTGGACCCCTTTTTAGATCGGTATCTTCATTTAAATTCCCCTAAAAACGATCACATCAACAACACCTGCCTCTGTAGTGATCGTTTTACACTGGATCGTTTTATAAACTTTCCTCAGAGACAACTTGGATTCACTGATAATTCACTGATAATCCGCTGTTACTGGTGAAAGGGGCCGAAACGACGATCTCCCGCCTCAGTGTGTTCATCCTCCCGTCTCAAGCTAATCAGCTAATATCACCGTCAACAGCTTTCCCGTGAGTGGGTGTGGTTTCAGTGCAGCCAGCGGACACGCCCCCGGCGTTTGAGAGTAGAGAATCTGCTCATTTTTTCATGATTTTGATAGCTTATTTTATGTACTTCCCGGCTTTTTTCATCATTCAAATTTGGCTGGGTGGCTAATTACACATTTTTCTGTGGTGTGACAAACTCAGAACACATACTTATTTTGATTTTACAGGGACTTTAAGGATAATTTTTGGCTTCAATATCTCATGGAAAAGAGGTTTTCCTCTAGCGTAAGATATTACGTAGATCT